TGGGGGGGGGGGGGGGGTTTCATCATGCTTGCATAGGAGTGCTTGTGGGATGAATGAAAACAAGTGTCCCTCAGTGCTGGTTAATGGAAGTCTCGAGTTCCATTAAAAATTGATCAAAATGTACAAACTGCTGTCTGCAGTACAAGGCACTTAGTCGCTTAAAGCTCGCTTCCAGCCAAAACAGTTTTTTTTTTTTTTTTACTGTTAGCAAAGTGATATAAAGATTTGTAACCCCCGTCAGGTTTTTGTTTTTAATACTGTCTATGTCCCCAGGGGTTCCCCACCACGTCCTGTTTCGGTGACACATAGTGCAGGCAGGAAGTGGGGGGAAACAGCAATCAAAACCTGTCTAAGGTTCTCACCCCAGACCATTCTGTCCAAAGCTTGGACTGATGTGAATATGATCTTAATTGCTATTGTACACTTGCCTGTTATAAAATAGGAATAGAGTAATACACCCTGCCTACAGCATGAGCTGTGTAGGTGAAGGACTTATGGGAGAGGACTGTGGAAATCTAGCTTACCTCTACAATCTGTCCTTGTTGTCTTTTCAGTGTCCTCAATAAATATAGCTGAAGAATTAAAACGCTTTGTCCAGATGTATCAAAAGCCTGCCCATCCACTCAGACTAAAAGAGTGGCTGATACTTCAGATCAACAGCGGACAGTACCCCGGCCTTTGCTGGGTGGATGACCAGAAGACAAAGTTCAGGATCCCGTGGAAGCACGCTGCCAAACAGAACTATAGTGAGGAAGAAGATGCAGCGTTATTTAAGGTAAGCCAAACCCCCAGGACCTTAGAAATCCCAAATTTACCTGGCCACCACAAATTAAAGTCATATGATGTCTGCTAAAGGACAGGATCAGAGAGAGATCATGTGACCAGTGCTCCTGCATATTGTCATGTGATTAAACTTATTGACCTATAAGTCGTTTCAATAGATTGAAAGCTAATAATGGGGCACTGGGTGCCAAACACATTGCAGCCTTTTTGGTATACAGAGCTCTCAAACCATGGAAACCATCCTCAGGATTTTGTTTTCATCTCAGTGCTGTTATACTTACAGAGCATGTCTTCATTGCTTCTACAGGCCTGGGCCATGTACAAGGGGAAGTTTCGAGAAGGTTCTTCAAAGGCGGATCCTTCTGTATGGAAGACCAGACTCAGATGCGCACTCAACAAGAGCCCCGATTTCCAGGAGGTCCCGGAGAGCTGTCAGGATGCGGGGGAACCCTACAAAATCTACAGGATTGTGTTGGAACCGCAAGACAGTAACAGTAAGCAACTTCATACGAAGGCAAAGTGGTGCAGCAGTGCAAATTTCCTGCAAACATCTGACTACATTTTAACAGCCAAGTATGTTAGAAAAATGTTAAAAAGCAGCTCTCACCATAATACTTGCCCCCATAGCTGTCCCCTACAGATTCATCACTCTGTGATTCAGCAATGGTCATCTTCCAGGTTGAGTGATGCTCAACGTCATTCAACTCACTTGCTGCAAGCCCAGCACGTCAAAGATACACCTTGTAGGGCAGGGGTAGGGAAACTTTGTCCCTCCAGCTGCCGTGGAAGTCCCATTGGGCATTGCACGACTCCTCTGACAGCCATGGGCATGACTCCCAGAGGCAGATGCATGATAATTTTTGTAGTTGCACCACAGCTGGAAGGCCAAAGTTTGCCCACCCCCTGCCCTAGGGGACCCAATCATAGGCTAGACCTGGAGCTGAAGTGTTGTATACAAGGCGGTCTATGGCCTACCTATCTGCACTGTCTGGCTAGATCACAGGGCTGGCTGAACAAAACTACATATCTTTTGGCCTATAATTCAGTTCACAAATATGTATTTAAACGTTCACCTTTAATAAACTTATAAGAATATGATGGTATTATGATAGCTCCTTTGTATTACAGATGACACATGCAGAGACACATCCATGAGCCCCGTGAAAGAAAGCCCTCCAAGTTCTTCAGATGAACTTCAGGTGATTATTTACTCCTCCAATACATTAATAATATTCCATAACATTTGAAAGTTCTAATAATTCCTGTCCTGTAGATTGTGGAGGAAGATGAATTTGTCCACGGCAAATCTCGATCCAAACTACCGAGGTTGGAATATCACCATATCCCAGCAGATACGGGTGTGTAAGGATTTGTAATAACTTTTTGGGGCTGTAAGATAGAAAAACTGATGGTGGTCCAAAGAAAGAATTGACTATAGCAATTATATTCTTCCTTATGTTCTCCAGTATTGCATTTGTACTCTTCAGGCAGATATAAAAACGTAACTTACTGCAGCTCTGTATTAACGAATACATCATTAAATGTATGTTTTCTAATTGCAAGCAGTGTAAGTAAATGAATGGGACTTGTAGTTATCAGCCTCTTGCAGTCCCCTGTACAGCAGAGTTCACACTGGGAGAAGAAGCACAATGAGCCAATCCATTCTCTAATGCTCATACAATAACAATGAACATGTTGATAGGAGGAAAGAGTAGAGTGAAAGAGAGATAAGCTCACTGTCTGGAGGAGGGGCAAGACCTGTAAGCATTACTTAACTGCAGCAGAGATCAGTCCGGTCCTCCTGCCCTGCCAAACAGGACTGTGTTGTGTGGCAAAGCTGTGTAAAGTCAGAAATACAAGCTGGTAAAGCAACTCCCTTGTATGTATTCCATCCATGTATTTAGCCGTTAGCCTGCATTTTAGCTTTCTATATGAATGGTTTCCAACTCAGACATCTCCCACCACGAGGACTCATCTCTCCAGCTTTTTAACAATAGCAGCACCTAATCTGGAACTGCTTAATTGTCCCTAATTCAGTTACTTGTGTTCCCCTCAGAAGGTGCATCAGGTGCAGTCATCGGGAGGGTCCCCCATAGTGACCATAAAATGACACAAGAAGCAGAGCAAGATTTGACCATGCCACTGTCATCCTCATCCTCAGGTCAGTAGGTCACCTTTATTTGGGCACGTTTGTGGGCTTGACACATCTGAACATTCACATCAATGCATTTTTTTAATGGCTGAATGTGTCAAAAGTGTTATTATTAGATGGTAAGCCCCATTGGGGTTCATTTGTCATATGACTTTGGATAGTACTAATAATTAATATATCAAAAGCGTTTATGTGTTAGTAAATCATTTTAAAAATGAATTTTCAATATTTGTAAATCTGCTGTTTTTATGAAAATATTCTCTGGTGAGACAGCCATTAAAGTCCTTGTTTCGGCACTTCCTGTTGTAGGGTGACAATGCTCTATCCTTGTCTCCCAGTTATGCTCCTGTATTGTCACCCTGTCACACGGGCTTCGGATGGAAACTACATATTTCAACACACATAAGCGTGGTCCACTGTTGTCACCATCGGGAAACCTGCTCTGAGATATGTCATGCGGCCATTGCTGGAGCAAAAAGAGACTGCAGGAGATCAGCAGCCCTAAGATGTAACAAAAGGATAAAATGAGGGGAAAATAAGTATTTTATTTTTAAAAAAATAGGAATGATTTATCATACACAGTGATTTAGCAAACTATCATTCATATAGGGTTTACGTGTACTGTAATCTTCGCTTTTTGTTATGGTTTATTTAGCATTCTTTTTTTTTTCCGGCAGATTTTTGGCTTCACATACGCCTGTACTACCAGGGCAAATTGGTGACTGAGGTGACCACACAGACCGCTGAAGGCTGCCGCATTGCCTCCCAGTCGTCATGCCAGTGGAACTACAGCCCGTATTCACCTATCCTGCTGGAGGAAATCGGTTTCCCTTCTCTCCAGGAAGTGGCGGATATCGTGACACCTCAGGTCTACCAGGTGCTCAAAAGGCTCCTACGGCACCTAGACAAAGGGGTGCTGCTGTGGGTGGCACCGGAGGGGATATTTATCAAGAGGCAGTGCCAGGTACGAGTATACTGGAGTAGCCCCTCAGCCCCGCAGAAAGATCGACCCAACAAACTGGAGAGAGAGAAGACCTGCAAGGTGCTGGACACAGAACAATTTATGAATGGTGAGTGACTGACATCAAGGAAAACTGTGATGGTTTGGGGTCAATTTTAGGCTATTATTTCACTTGTTTTTGAAATACAGTCTTTGTTCTACAAATAAGTATTTGCCAGAGCAATAAGCATTAGTACAACATAGACAAAGGAAGCTGCAAAGCAAGCTATGTAAGTGAAAACTTGGGCTGAGCCATCTGTTAAGGGATGAATCACTGCCCTGATGCATCATTGGGTTCTTTAACCACTTGAAGACCAGCATGTTAAACCCCCTTCCTGTCTATGCCATTTTTCGGGAGGGTTGAGGCTTTGTGAGAGAGGGGTGTTACAGGCATAGTGGTGATTGGAGAGTGTACAGTTGATGTTGAGATATCTCTCTCTCCTCTTATGATAAGAGTGGAAAGGGAGTGAAAGCTGCAAATGCAGCCATTGTTTACATTTTGTGACAGCTGTGATTAGTCACAGCTGTCACATGGTACAGAGACAATTTTATTGGCTCCGTAGCCTGTTTTGTGATCTTCACCGTCCAGTGTAAAGAGAAAGCCTACAGGGTTTTTAGGGGCAGAAAAGTAATTTTTTTTATGCAGACACCTAGGCGATTTATCGCGCGGATTGGGTCGTGGGATATCGCGCAAAACACAGATTCGCCTTGAAGTCAATGGATGCTGTTCACGCCTTTGCAGTTTGTCGTGCGGAGCTATTTTCGGGTGGTCAATAGAAAAATGTCACCAGCACACCATAAGTTGAAAAACTATACAATAGCTGTATCTCATTGGCAATAAAATATTTTGCTTTTTTCAACTTATGGTGTGCTGGTGACATTTTTCTATTGTTCATGTGTGGCGGTGCCATCCGCAGTCATTTCGAGCACCCATCCTCATCAAGTGGGAATCCCGGTAAGGAGTGCGGTATGGTTCCTGTTTCTGTATTTTTGGGTGGTTGTCACGCAAAAGCGTTGACAACCGCTCGGTTTTCAATGAACAGTCGCGCGATTGAAAATGAAACAACAATCGCGCGAAAACAGCTTAGCACCTGAATCGCCGCCGAGGTGTGAGCCTAGCCGGAGATTTCAGGCCTAGAGTCTTTTTCTTGCAAGATGTTTGCTTACCGGATCCTGTCTCTGTGTTCTAGAATTGCAGATGTACATGACGCAACAAGGTCCAGAACCCCAGTACCAGATACAGTTGTGCTTCGGAGAGGAATACCCCGAGTCATCTGGCAACCCCAACAAACTGTTAACAGCACATGTGAGTATGATGGCACCACTTTCTCATGCGTAGGGGGTAAGCTGTAAAAAAAAAAAAAAGAAAAAACAGAACATTTATGGCTTGGTACATAAATATTCGGGCTGATTTATGAAAATTGGAGTGAAAATTAAATATTTGTGCCACTCAGCTTGCATGTCTCTATAGCTGAGTCTGAATGTAAGGGCAGTCGCATAACTTTGTAATCCCTGTAACAAAAAAGTTGAAAATCCTTAAGAAATTAGAAGAGCTGTAAATAGGACTAGCACTGCTGAGCTACTTCTTAAAATGCTTGTTGCCAGCCTGTGTCTGGCTTTAATGCTTTTTGAGTCACTGACAAGACCAAGCATGCAGCCAGTGATGTGCAAATTCTCATGGTTTGTTTTTTTAGAAAGCTGTAGAAAAGTTTAAAAAAAAAGCCTTCTGCCTGCCAGCATGCTGTAGACAAGGATCCTTGTTCTCCATGTGGAAGCAGTCGTCTTTCTGCAGAGGTTCAACCCACCCATTGCCAAGTCAGACCTATAGCTCTTTAATTAGCCGCAAGCAGGGACCCTGAGCTTTGCTTATTCCGGGGCTCCAGCTGTCACTTAGCAGGGGAACATCAGATCTCTGCAGAGAAACCACTGCTTCCAAATAGAGAGTAAGGACTCTTCTTTACAGCATGCTGGCAGGGGGCTTGCGTAGTACACTCATGCTGTGGCTCATTTCTAAAGAAAATTAAGTGTAAGACTTTCCATACCTTTGGAATGTATTTAGCTGAACAAACTAAACATTCATTTGGGCTTTAAATGTGTATTGCTTCATGAGGTTCCCTGAATCTGCATTTATAACAGCTGGTGCAGAGGAAACGGTCTGAACTGACGAGTCACCCATATTCACCACTGCAGTTTTTTGGTAGCATCTGGTTGGTTGTTATGGGCTGTAGTGCACATTAACTTACTGTTCCTTTGCTCCGCTGAGACCTCATCCGTACTGAACGTCTCCCATCTCTTCTCAGGTGGAGCCTGTGTTCGCTCGGGAACTTCTTGAAAAGGCAAAGGTGAAACTGAGGAAAGAGCTTACAAAGCAATAACTTCTTTCAAAATGCCCTTTACAAACAGACATATCATACACTGGTTTGCCCCACGTATATTGGGTTGGCAGAGCCTGCTGAACGTTGTGGTTCTTCAACAGATCAAGTAAATGCAGTTTATAAAAACATCAAACTGAACCCTTTGTTCTTTTCCAATCTCTGCTGCGTGGGACCCCCTCTTCTGCAATTGCCTTCTCTCTAATACCCTTTGTTCCCTTGACCTTTGAATCTTTCTACCTAGATGAATGGAATGCTTGCTTTCAAGAGCATAATAACCCCTTCTCAGATGTCCTCAGTAGCACCACCATAACCCTAAACAACTTCATTGATGTGGGGGAAAATTGTTTAAAGGAGAACTATGAGGTGAGTGCTTTTCACTCACCTCATAGTTCTAGCCGACCTGTGACAATGAGACTGTCACAGGTCGGCTCAGTAGATCGGGAGGTGAGCAAACACATACCGGGTTCGCTCACCTCTCGATCCTGTCACCGCTCTCTGCCGTGACAGGGGGAGGGGCTGGATTCCCCTCTCCCCGCTCCGATCTGCCAGCGCTGACTGGCGGAACGGACGTGGGAGGGGGCGGGTACAGCTGGCTCTGCCTCTAGATAGGCAGAGCCAGCTGTCACTCACGCAGCTGGGCGGGTCCCGGCATCTAAGTCGAGATCCGCTCCGGCTGCGGCGTCTCAGTATACTGCGAGCTGTAGCTCGCGGTATACTGAGCTTAGGGTAACGGGAGGACGCTAGTTTGTGTCCTCCCGTTACCCTAAGGAGAACTATGGGGAAAAACACTGACCCCATAGTTCTCCTTTAAAGCCCACCTATACAGGTGAAACTCAAATAATTAGAATATCGTGCAAAGTTCATTTATTTCACTAATGCAACTTAAAAGGTGAAACTAATATATGAGATAGACTCATTACATGCAAAGCAAGATAGTTCAAGCCGTGATTTGTCATCATTGTGATGATTATGGCTTACAGCTCATGAAAACCCCAAGAACCCCAAATCCACAACCTCAAAAAAGTAGATTATTACATGCAATCAATAAAACAAGGATTGTACATAGAACAATATCGGACCTCTGAAAAGTACAAGCATGCATATGTACTCAGTACTTGGTTTGGGCCCCTTTTGCAGCACTTACTGCAATTACTTTTGCACGATATTCTAATTATTCGAGTTTCACCTGTAATCCGAAAAGAAACCAGAATTGTATACCTTACAATAATTGGCCAAACTGACCCTTTTTTTATACACATTACAATTAATAAGCAACCTGTACAATATGATGAATGTCTGGCCGGGCCCTAAATACCTTACAGTTACACAGAGCCTGACTGTGATACACCCTACAATAAACATAAGTCATATATAGACCCTAGATGAATGCTCAGTTTAACCCTGATACACTGATGTGTGTGTGTACGCCTAACCTTGATTCGTCCTACACTTTAAAGCTATAAGATCTAATACTATGAATTAAGTTCCTTGCTGTGAATTTGCATATAACTGTTGTAAATATATTAAAAAAAACTTTTTTTGCAAAGAATACACTTGTTTTTGTTTCATTTGTGATAAATACAAAGATGTTCCCCCTCCGCTGCAGTGGTCTAAGTCTCCTCGAGTCATCACGTTCTATACAAAGTGTATTGGACATGAGTACGCTGAGGGACATGCCATCGCTGGAGCAAAGGAAGACACGGGCTGGAGGGAGTGCTGTCACAGCCATCTGTCTCCAAGGATCGGGTGAGTATAACTTTGTTATTTTCTTCCCTAGTGTGGCAGTGCATGGCAATGCCACGGTGTAGTATGGCAACTTTGGCGCCCAGGACTCTCAGCCAGAGGGGCTGAGAGGTTCCACAATGTGAATACCTTTGGAGAGGAGGAACTGGCTGTTCAATTCCTTCCAGGTTTTCCAGACTATAGTGGGATGGGATCTCCAGTCCTGGGGCCAGGTGTTGCCAGTGGCCAGGTTGAGCTGATCAGGTGGCTGAGAGCAGCCTTATTAGGAAGACAGCCCAGTGCTTTAGAAGAGAGTTGTGGGTGTGCTGTAGGCCAGGAAGGCTGGGGAGGTCCAGAGGGTCGGTGACCCTGAGATCCCTGTCGGGGAGACAGAGAGGGACAGTGACCCACGTGGGTGAATACCAAAAGTCTTGGAGCTGAGGGAAGCTGCTGAGGACGGTATATCCAGGGAAAGTCCTAAGACTATAACACTGGGAGTGTATGGCAAGATGACGGTGAGACCCAAAACATGATGTGTTGATGAGAGTCCAATGGACTGTTATTGTTTATTTATGCTGAAGAAAAGCAAGTTGTTTTGTGAAGTTCATGGACTGTTAACCTTTTGAATGAATAAAGACTGTCCTTTTTATGTTAAAGTCGGCTTCAGGAGTGGTCACTTAGCGCTCACCATTGTGCTATATTCCCCAAACTATCCCACTAGACACATAGGAGCAATTAACCCTTGCAATGCAGGAGTATTCCCACTACAAGGGTTAATACAAGTTTTGTCTGGAGTTCTGCTTTAATTGTGCATAAGCAGTAACCCTAAAAAATATACCTCTTGTCTTGAATTCCTCCTAAAAAATTGCAATGCCCTTCCCGTGCCCATAAATGTATATCTGCAAAGTGAGATCATCTAAGGTACTGTATACTGTTTACTAATCCTCAGTCATCAGGGGGGCAGCTCTGACCTGAAGAAAGAAAGCCCCACTCCTCTACCAATATGGCCACCCCAACACGGAAACACAGCGCGGACAAGACATGGTAGGTCAGTAGTGGGAAAAAGATAAGCTCTAGGGAGGTGTCAGGGTTTCTTACCCTTGCTTGTCCAGTTGAGCTGCAGCCTGTCTTCTGTTGCAGTGTGTCTGGCACCGTTTGTTCCTCTTATGACTAAGCCCGTAAACATCATAATTCTGCAACTACCAGCAAACTCCTGACAACTTCCTGTCTCAGAGTGATGATGCAACACCAGCTCACTATTTAACTAGCAGCTTGTCCATTTAGTCTCCGCCCTTGCGTGTTTTCAAATCTACCAAGTGCTCTGTTGTTCCTGTTATCCGTGTATGACCCTGGCTCTGGCTGACTGATCTCCTGGTTCCTGACTCCAGCTATTGTTTCCGTTCATCCTGCACTTAGTGTTCCCTGACCTGGTTCTGCTACCCGCTTTGGCATCTGACCTCTGGCTTGGCACCGACGACGTCCTGGACTTTCTCCATTGCTATTTTTGTTTATTGTTATTTTCAATAAGCTCCTTTTATTTTCAACCTGCACTTTAAGTTTCTGTCTGGTTGCCTTTATCCTCTGTTGGCGTCTGTTTGCTAACATTCACGGTTCTCTAAAATCTAAGCATATAGAAAAGTATATGCAAAAAAACAAAACAAAAAACAAACCAGGATGTCTTATACACAAATTGTCCATTTTATTTTGTAAATGCTGTACAGTCGTCAAGTTTTACAGAAATAAATAATTGGCAGTGAACTGGCAATTGGTAAACATCTCATATTTCAGATGCAACTCGCAACGTGCATTTTGTATGCAATCCTTCAATCCATTCAAAGTCGATAATGATTTTTTTTAATCACACATTTGTAATTAAATCATCCACTATGTCAAATTTCATTCAGAAAAGAAAAAAACCCCAAAACAAATTATAAAAATGTACTAGTCACTCATTTACAAAGTCAGTTATTAGTGCAAATTAGTGGGACAAGACCTTAAAGCCAAAAATGACTTCTTTGGTATGACAACTTGCAAAACAAAGGACCCTTTAGCAATCTTTAAATTAGATTGGTGGCATTTGAAGCGAATTTAAAATCTAGTTAAAGGTTCACAGTGAAAACTGGTGGATGGCTTAATCAGGGCCGGTGCTAGGATTTTAGTCAAGGTGGGCAAGGTGCAATTTTGCGTCCCCCCTCCCCC